TTCTTAATCAAACCTAAAACATTTAACAATAAAAAGGGGAATCATGTGTCACGAGCCTTAAGCACTTGTGGAGTAACTTTGGATGTGAGGCGTCTGACTCGATCATCTAAAGTCTCTCATGTCATAGTCTTTAATATGGTTCAATACATCCTCAGATACAATCACGACATATATTCACTCTGACAATCCCTAAGCGGCTCACAGGTTTCCCTTCCCCAATAGAGTTTATTTCTCTAACAACGGAAGATCATCTCCCAGCAATTCAACTTCAAAAAAATTTGAAGACCTACATTCTTCATCCCCAGCAACAATCAGGGATTTAGTTTCCCTAACTCAACAATACAACAATAGAACGACTGCCACATTCATACATTGCATTCATACATCATTTTGCAAGCGTCATAGCATATGCAACACAAATGCATATATCACAATCTCATTTATTTTGAGAGCATCATGCAATTTATACATCATGACATCGCATGAAACTGGTTTTACCTTTTCAGGTCAAATTAGTAGACAAATAAACACTATCAACTTATATAGTAGGTCAAAGATTAATGCTCGAAACCAGACAGGGAAACTATCTACACGACCAAGAGGTATGAACTGCCGGAGCAAGACGAATTTACCAACAAATACAGCAGGCCACAAATTAATGCTCGAAACTAGACGGGAAACATCTACGTGACCAACATTGCCAAGTTCCAGATTAATACCTGTAACAAGACGAGACAACTATATATGGACAACCGATTGTAGATTAATACTTGAAACCAGATGGGAAAACTATCTACGTGAGCAGATTGAAGATTAATACCTGAAACCAGACAGGAAAACTGTCTTTCTTTCTAAGGTCAAAGATTAATACCTGAAACTAGCTAGAACAACTAACTCAATGATCGACAAAAAGAAGTTCCATATTAATACCTGTAACAAGCCAGGATAACGATCTGTGGATGATCGATTATAGATTAATACCTGAAACCAGACAGGAAAACTATCTACACGAGCAGATCGAAGATTAATACCCGAAACCAGACGGGAAAATTATCTTTCTTTCTAAGGTCAGAGATTAATACCTGAAACCATCCAGGACAACTATCTCAATGACCAACAAAAGTAAGTTCCAGATTAATACCTAAAGCAATACAAGACAACTATCCGGGAACAGCTGATTATAGATCAATTCCCGAAACCAAACGGGGCGATGATCTACATGATCATCCTGAAGCAATCTTACACGGGTTTCTTCTCCTAATATCCAGATGCAGTCTAACACAGACTCATCCTGAATCAATCTTACACGGATTCCTTCTCAATTTCCAGAAGAAGTCTAACACGGGCTCATCCTGAAGCAGCCCTACACATGCTTCTTCTAGTACATTTCCAGATAACAGTTAATTTCATCCTCCCCAGGAAGTTACTGTGAAGTCTGGAGTTCAACCAGAAAATAGAAAACTTTCATCTGTCCAGCCCATAGATAACTCCTCAGTAGAGCCATGGATAAATGAAGTTCAGAGACTCTATTCCCCCATAGAGTTTTCCTCAAGTAGGAGAACAACAAAAATTAACATTCCTCAGTAGACTCCTACTCAAACAACATGAACAAGAATCCCCCATAATAGACCTTTTATGAAGTCAACATCTATTATGAATGGCATATTTAAGCCCATCTCCAACAACTCTCAATCATCTTCTCCAAATGGCATCTTCAAGCCAATTCCCTACACAATCAATCATCACATCATGCGAGTGAGAATTTATGGGCACTGTAGTGTTCAATCATCTTCCACCTTTAGATCACGAAAGGAAAACAAGCCAATCTAAATCTTCAGGTTTAAGAAGATTGAACAGGGGCAACTGTTGTACCCCAAAATTTGCCCTCTCATGTTTTCCAAGATCTTCCCTTGCATGGGTGGTTACAAACACTTGCTTAAAGAAAATATAAATTTTTGAATATGGTCAAGTGTCTTTCGATTGGCACCTTACAAGGTATTTCTATTGGGGCATATAAAATCCTTCGATGCAAGCTTGGCTCACCAGTCTTCGATTGGGCATTTGACTTCCTTCGATACAGGCCTGATTCACAAGCTTCGATTAGGCGTTGGGCCCCCTTCGATCAAGTTTAATTCACAAGGCTTCGACTGCGCGTTGGATGCTTCTGGCTTGCCTTCTATTCACAAGGTAATAACCCCCTACAAGTTTGCTTCGATTCACAAAGCAGTGGCCTCCTGCATGCAAGATTCGTCTAGGAAAAGGCCTCTTCATGCTTGCCTTTTGACCCACTAGGCAAAAGCTTCTTTCATGTGTTCTTCGACCCACAAGGAAACGACTTCCTCTGTGCGTGCCTTTGGCGCACAAGACAAAGGCCCCTCAACTTGCCTTGGATTCACAAGGAAAAAGGCCTCTTCAAACTTGCCTTCAATCCACAAGGCAAAGGTCTCTTCATGCTTGCCTTTGATCCACAAGGCAAAGGCCTCTTCATGCTCGCCTTTGATCCACTAGGCGAAAACTTCCTCATGCTTGCCTTGGATTCACAAGGCAAAGGCTTCCTCAGATTTGCCTTTGATCCACTAGGCAAAAAGCTTCTTTCATGTGTGCTTCGACCCACAAGGAAATGACTTCCTCTGTGCGTGCCTTCAGTGCACAAGGAAAAGGCCCCTCAACTTGCCTTCGATCTACAAGGCGAAAGGCCCCTTTAAATTGAACTTCGATTCACAAAGCAATGGCTATCTACATGCAAGATTCGACTGGGCAATGTCTATCTTCAGGCCTACTCTGACTCCACCTCTAAAAAACTTTAACACACAGTTTTCCATACTTCGACACACAACATGGTCCCTTCCAAAGAAGCATTCATATGGTATATTCGAATAAGCATTCAAAGGCCCATTCGAAGGACATACAAGTGGTGCCTTCGAAGGACATATATTTGGTCCATTCGAAGGACACACAAATGGTGCCTTCGAAGGACATACATTTGGTCCATTCGAAGGACATACAAATGATGCCTTCGAAGGACATACATTTGGTCCATTCAAAGGGTACACAAATGGTGCCTTCGAAGGACATACATGTGGGGAATTCAAAAGAGTCAGGGGGCGGAACATGTCCAGGTTCACTCAAGATTTCAAAATGGCAAGAATCATTCTAATATGGCCAACTTTCAATATGTTGGATTTTTGTCTCATGGCCTTGAAAGCCTTTGTCTCTTGACATGATGCTCTCCTCACATCCCTATAAATACAAGCCTAAGGACACATTGCGAAGGGACGAAAAAAAAAGAAGGACAAGAACGAACCTTTCGAGTATAAGTAGATAGTTCCTAGATGCTTGCTCAAGAACAAACTTTTGCACTTACACAAAAACATTTCAAAACATTTTCAAAAACGCTTTATCAACACTCTTGAGGACTGATACAATGGTTATCATAAAGCAAATCTCCTCACTAAGACATTTTCAAAAATATTTTTCAAAACACACAAAAGCACAAGATATTTCAAAATGAGCTAAGCATCTAAGAGCCCGTATAAAACTACGGATGGAAAGGGTACTAACACCTTCCCTTTCCATAATATACCCCCCTTACTCAGAAAACATCTCGAAAGGTCTTTTTCTGTTCTTTTCACTCTTTCCTTTGTTGGATAAAATAAAAGTTGGTGGCGACTCTTGCTTACCGCAACATTTGCAAACACAAACGCAAAACCAGTATAACAGTCGGTTCTACCACCGTATCACAAAATCGACAACACGATTAAAAATCTAAACAAGCAAACAATTCAACCCAATCGAAATTAACTAAATAATTAATTAAATTGAATCATCTTATTTGATAAAATTAATTAACAAAATAATTAATAATGTGAAATAATATTTTTCAATCTAATTAATCATTTGAAATAAAAGTATTTTTTTTTTTGTATTTTTGATTGCTAAGAAAAATATTTAAACAAACAATACAAAAATAAATATAAAGAAAAAGATAGAATTGGGTCTGAAATCAGCAATTAGGGAGGCGTGCTGGATAGCATTTCGTTGGGCTTAAGCTCACAAGCCCAAAAGTTGAATACGCAAATCCAATGTGTTATAGCTCAAGGGAGTCTACAGTAGAGGCATGCAGCTGGAGAGCTTGATCATGACGATGAGATATGATGGCTGAGAGGGTGAGGGTGCACCACATGCTGGATAGAGAACACACGTGATATTCTGCGGCTTGCCTCATGGGAAGTGCACCATGGATGTGCAGATATGAAGCAATGATCTGTAAGGATAAAGATGATGATTGATCTCGCGATTGAAGAGGTAAGGTGCAAGATAGCCATGGTGAGGGTACCTGCACGGAATCAACAAGCAGCCACAAGGGCGGTGACAAGTGTCACCACCAGATTAACATTTTGATTAAAATTAATTTAAAATATTTTATATTAATTACAAATTTAATCACATGAGAGTGTAATACTCTCTTTATTATTCCCACTCTCATCGATCTATGTGCTTCAAAATAAAAGCCCGCCAAAGAAGAATCCTCTACCGCGCCATAAATCGCCTTGGGGAGGCAACGAGAGCGGCGTTGTTGCATTTGGATCCGATCCTGGATTTATTTACATAAATCTCTTCATCTTTCTCTCCTCTTCACTAATCCGTGGCTTGATTTTGATGATGTTGAACGATGGCACATAGATCTTGAAGGGGAAAGACAAAACCCTAACTGTTCAAAAACAACCAAATGTCAATGATCTATGAGGAAAAAGGCCTAAATCAAGGAAGACAAAAAGAAAGAGGAACGAAAGAGAGTTCGGGAGAATAAAGGAAGTGCGGTGGTCAGATTTTTGTGCTACGACGTCTTTATGGTGATCTATTTCTGTCTTTGATCCTTTTTACTCTTCTGATCCTCGCGATTTGCTCTTCTTTTTCATTGTCTTCGGTTTCTTGCGATACCTTTTCCTCTTCTTCTTTCTCTGATCTGAAGGGTTTGTAGTTTAGGAAGATGATGATAGTTAGGGTTTTTTATTGAAAGCTTCTTGTGGTTTTATGATATTTGTGAACGAAACTTGATTTCTAAAAAACTTTTCTGGTTTTTGGAGATGATTGAAGATGAAGGTTGCAATTTGAGAGTGAATATGAAAAATGAATCGTGAAGTTGAGATAGCAGAGAGAATTTTGTGGAGATGTTTTGAGTGATTCTTCAGAATGTTAAGAATCCTCATGAACAACGTGAACTTTCTGTTTTATAGTTCTGTTATTTTGAGAAAGTTGGTTTAGGTTTGAGACAATCTTGGCCTTTGAATGATGAAGTTTGTTATGAGTTGGAATTGATATTATTCTCCTGAATTTCTCTATAACTGATGTAGCAGTAGAAGAGGATTTTGATACTTTTCTAATTTTATTCTCTCTGCAATTTTATTATTGAATTGATGCATAGCAGTATTTTTGTGATGTTTTGGTGAACCGGTTTTAACATTATATCAGGGTATTTGGCTTGAACTATATCCATTTTGATTTCTTTTTATACTGGCCGATTATTTAATCTGAAGCTATGGACTTGATTTGCAATTTATATACTGCTTTGTAATCATGATGAGCCTTTTACTGATTTTGTAATAACTTGCCTTTTGAACCTCCTTTATGAACCAAATGTTTTTGCGATTTGCAATAGAGGTCATTGGCCTACAATTAAACAGAAATTCTGATTATTATTGAAACAATAATGCCTTATTGTTGGATTTGTGAACATGATTGATTCAATCTCCCTAAACCAAAACTAATTCCTTTCCATACCCTAATGATGAATTGGGAAAACCTTTTTCTTGACAAATTCTTGGTTGTGTTCAATGTTCTTGATTGCTTGCTAACAACTTTCTTTTCTCTTGTTTCATGAGGTGTTGATGAGGAATGAATAAAGATGGAAATGCAAAAGTGGAAGGAAAGGTCGTGGCTAGCATGACAAAATGGAGGAGTTTGGAGGAAATCTTGAAAAGGAAGAATTCTTGGAGGAAAGTCAAGGGATTTGATGTAATTTGGATCTTCAAGTGACTTGATCATGGATTAGTTTCTCTTAGGACAAATGTTCACTTGGTTTTCTTTGTAATTTAGAAACATTCCTCTTGTACTTTGATGAAATAGTTTAGAAGTTAGACCATGTAAAAAAAGTTTAAATCCTTCTCTTGTATGTTTGAAAATTTAAGCTCATGGACACTTGAATGTTGTTGTATCTTTTGTGTCTTGAATGAACCATGTATTAAAACGAAACTTGTTACATTTGAATGGTAGTATGAATCTTGAATGTAACATAGAACTTTGATCAAAGAAGAATTGCATTTGAAATTTTCCTTGTGGAATTATTGTGAAACTTGTAGAATTTACAATTGAAATTGATGCTATGAATATTAGCACAAAATCGTCAAATTCCTGCTCACCTCTAAACTTGACAAAATGTCAAAAAAATTTAAGTAGGAAACAATTGGACAAGCTAATTTCCATCCAATATCCTTTAATTGAAATTCAATCTCTTTATGATTTTCTTTAACCAATGATAACTTCTAACTTTAAGCCCAACTTGATGCACTCTAAAAGCCCAAATGATTTCAATAGTTCTTGCATATCATACTTCAATATCTACCCTCAATATGAATGGCCCAATGGAATTCTCTTAATAAAACCCTCAATTAATCTTTCTTTAATCAACGAGCCCAATAATGGTATCTTGTCCTTGAAGAATATTTGAAAAAGATGAGAATGGAATTAAAGAAAAAAACTTCTAATGAAACTCATTCGACAACTGAAAGTGTACTATGATGATACTCATAATGGAGATAATGATTCAAAGAATTATGTCAAGAAAGACATCACACATTTCAGTGATCAACAACCCTAGCCCAAGAGCCAATGGATAGGAAAAAAATGTAATTTAGTTTAAAATACTTGCAAATCCTGAATCTTTTGATGAAACAAAGAATCATTTAAGATGTCTCGAGGCCTAAGAAGCCTCAGTAGCCTGAGTGATAAAAATAATGAGGATATGAGACCCTCCTCACACTAATAGAAAAATGGATTCTCCACGAAAAATTATTCGACTGAGTGAATCCTTTTATAGAAAGCGTTCTCGCTGTCGGGGTGGCATTCCGTCCAAAAAATATGGTAAAAGAAATTAAAGTCACTAGTAAGGAAGAGATAACAATGAAGAGCATGAAAGGAAAATAACCCTTTTAACTTATATCTACGACTGTTATCACTTTATTGCATCCATCACTTTATGACATAATGTAGTATGTTGAATTTATTACTAATTTAGACTTAAATAGAGAGACATTATCACCCTACACAAGCATAAACTAACAAGGGTTCAATGGAGTGGTGACCCGTCCTTGGGGCTTCGTTAAACTTTTGGTTACCTTTGGTGAATTGAGATATTATAGGGTGGTAAACATCCAATTTCTAGTAGTTTCATGCAACACAATTTATAATTAAATTTTAGGAAGACCTTCCATAAAAGTTTTGGACGCAATTCCATCCACTATCCATTTGAAGATGAAGTACCACAATGGTCATGACGAAGTGGCAGTAATTTGTGAAAATATGGCATGACCTATCATTTGCACAAGGCCCTTTAGAGAAATTTGGATGAAACTGCCATCCAAGATAAGGAGAAGGTAAAAGAGGCATGTTCATTTGGAAACATCCTATAGATGTCATCATTGTGGACTTTAACACGCATATAGAGGAATCTATGTCTGAGGATGAAAATGCCTTAGAGAGAACTCTTGTTGTCAAGGCCAAAGTGATGATACATAGGTTGGTCCCTTATGGGGATTTTGTATCCATCCAAATCGGCAATAACCAAACTCTTATTGTAAATATTGGGAAAAACTCTAAGTTCCATGGAGGAGGGACTTATCAAGTTCCTCAATTCCTACGCATACTAACTCATTATTTCCATTAATAAGATGATATTCATAGACCCTAGTGAGGTATTCCATCAACTGAATATTAACTTTTCTTTACAATATATTTCCTAGGTAGGATGACATGAATAAACAGAGAAGCTTAAAACCTCAAAGAATAATTTTGACAGGGACCTCTAAGCAAACTTAATTTCCGAGTTGAAGTATACTTAAAGGTTGTCCAATGTGATATTGATTAAAAAGGCATCCGGGCTCCTGTGCAATAATTATACTAGCCTAACTAAGCATGTCCTAAAAAAATTGTCTCCTCTCCAACATTGATGAATTATGAAAACTCAACCTCAACATGTTACAAGCTCTTGTCATTCATGGATGATTATTAGTGGTATAATCCTATGGGTGTCATCCAAAGAGAATGATCATAGTCAGCGACATTCACCTGAGGAAGAAAGAGACACTTCAAAAATAAATTGATAGGTTTTCCAAACTAGCAGTGGAAGTAGGAGGAATCAGTGCCAAGCTAGAGTGCTTTGCTTTCAAAAAAAGGATTAAGGTTAGACCACACGTTCAAAGATAAGTTGGATTGGAAGAACACATGAAAATGATTGACTTTCTCACTCAAGCCCATCCTTACATCAACTATGAAGAAAAACTGTTAGTTGAAGATGCTGAGAGGAATAAGGCATCTAGAAACACTAAAGGTAGAAGGCAATGAGACAATAAGCGTCGCGAGGACATAGACATAGAAATACAGAAGAGACCTTGGTCCAATTTCTCAGAATACATAATTTTAAAATTATTTAGAGAGGTAAACTTGCATAAATGTTCCAATAATGATTTCAAGGAAGCTAAGGTAAAATACACCTCATGTCGTGAAGGAGTAACCGCAAACTAATAGGTTAAAACTTTGAAGGTTTCATAAAAGCCATGAGTTCTAGACTAATAAATGGATTCATCTTACTAACAAAAAAAGATTTTATTAAGAATGGAAGACTTTTCATATACTTCAAGGAAGACACAAAGGTGGTTCCAAAATAGACAAATGGATTCTCCATGAAAAGTTGTTCGACTGAGTGAATCTACGTATAGAAAGCATTCTCGCAGCCAGGGTGGCATTCTGTCCAGAAAATATGGTAAAAGAAATTAAAGGCACTAGTAAAGATAAGATAACAATGAAGATCATTAAGAAATGAAGGGAAAAAACCCTTTTAACTTATATCTACGAGTGTTATCACTTTATTACATCCATCATGCGAGGGCTCCCACCACCAAAGATGTCATCCATTTGAACTGCAAAGAGAAAAAAAAAAGAAAAAATGATGTATGTTGATCATAATAAGGAATCGTCCTCGGGAGAGAGAGCTATGAAAGAGAAAGTTTTAGATTTTGGGACAACAAGAAGATATGAGGAATTTCCCATCAAATGATCCCATTGGTCATCATAATGGTAATGGTCAAATTTAATTTTTCTAGAGTTCTCATTGATAACGGGGTTATGACATAATGAAGTATGTTGAATTTATTACTAATTTGGACATAAATAGAGAGATGTTATCACCCTACACAAGCATAAACTTACAAGGGTTCAAAGGAGAAGTGACCCGTCCTTGGGGCTTCGTTAAACTTTTGGTTACCTTTGATGAATTGAGAGATTATAGGGTGGTAGACATCCAATTTTTGGTAGTTTCATGCAACACAATGTATAAATTAATTTTAGGAAGACCTTCCCCAAAAGTTTTGGATGCAATTCCATCCACCATCCATTTGAAGATGAAGTACCATAACATTCATGATGAAGTGGTAGTAATTTTTGCAAATCTTGCATGATCCTATCAACGCCACAAGGCCCTGTAGAGAATCTTGGATGCAACTGCGATCCAAGATAAGGAGAAGGTAAAAGAGGAATGTTCATTTGGAAAACATCTTATAGATGTCAACATTGTGGACTTTAACACGCATATAGAGGAATCTTTGTCTGAAGAAGAAAACGCCTTAGAGAGACCTCTCATTGTCAAGGCCAAAATGATGATACCGAGGTTGGTCCCTTATGGGGATTTTGTATCCATCCAAATCAGCGATAACCAGGCTCTTATTGTAAATATGCAGACTTATTCATTATTTCCATTAATAAGATGATATTCATAGACCCTAGTGAGGAATTGCATCAACTGAATATTTACTTTTCTTTCCAATATATTGCTTAGATAAGATGACATGAATCAATGGAGAAAATTGAAGCCCCCAAAAATAATTTTTACAGAGACCTCTAAGCAAACTTCATTTCTGAGTTGAAGTATACTTAAAGGCTGTCCAATGTGGTATTGGTAAAAAGGCATATGGGCTCATATCCAATAATTATACTGGGCTAACTAAGCATGTCCCAAATATTTTTGTTTCTCCAACATTGACGGATTATGAAAACTCAACCTCAAGATGTTACAAGCTCTTGTCATTCATGGATGACTATTATTGGTATAAACCTATGGGTGTCAACCAAAGAGAATGGTCATAGCCAGCGGAATTCACCAGAGGAAGAAAGAAACACTTCAGAAATATATTGATAGGTTTTCCAAACTAGTAGTGCAAGTAGGAGAAACCAGTGCCAAGCTAGAGTGCTTTATTTTCAAAAAAAGGATTAACGTCAGACTGCATGTTCAAAGAAACGTTGGATTGGAAGAACACGTGAACATAATTGACTTCCTCACTCAAGCCCATCCTTACATCAATTATAAAGAAAAACTGTTAGCTGGAGATACTGAGAGGAATAAGGCATCTAGAAACACTAGAGGTGGAAGGCAATGAGACAATAAGCTTCGCGAGGACATAGACATAGAAATACACAAGAGACCTTGGTCAAATTTCTCAGAATACAAAATATTAAACAAATATAGAGATATAATCTTGAATAAATGCGTTAATAATGATTTCAAGGAAGCTAAGGTAAAATACACCTCATGTCATGAAGTAGTGACCGCAAACTAATAGGTTAAAATTTTGAAGGTTTCATAAAAGCCATGAATGTGAGACTAATGAATGGATTAATATCACTAACGCAATAAAAGATTTGATTAAGAAGGGAAGAATTTGCATATACTTCAATGAAGACACACAGGTGGGGCCAAAATAGATAAATGAATTCTG